TCTTGGGACTTCACATCCTGCTCAGCGCACCGGGAACCAGAGAAGTGGGGACCATTAGGAGCGTCAGGGCGCAGCAGACACAGCAGCTGCTGCGGGCTCGGACTGTTCGCAGAAGGACTGAACTGCGCCTTTAACTCCCGGGACTCTGAGTGATTAAGCGCAGGGCTGCAGCCTCCTGCCGGGGCGGATTACTGCCCGCTGTGGCCTCACATAATCCGCACTTTGGGATTTTCTTCGATGTTCCCGGAGCAGAGCAGCAGGTAGTTCCTGCCCCGACCTCCCCGCGCACCTTATTTCTCTATTCAAACCCCGGGGGAGGGGAGGGGGGGGTCAGAGACCCGGTGTACCCGCTTAATCCCGCACCTGCTGACCGCAGCAGCACCATGATCAGCTCCGAGGGCCTGAGGCCGGCCTCTAACGGCAGGAAGCCGCTGGGCAAGCTCGCCACCCGCCTGGAGGAGGTGAAGAACCCGTGGCGGCAGGGCTCCACGCTGGAGCTCAGCCACAACGAGGCGGCCCGGCTGGCCACGGACGCACTGCTGGAGCACGGGGAGAAGGAGTACCGCAAGGTGCTGACCGAGGAGCGGGAGGTGAACTTCCTCTCCCCGCTGGAGATCCACTACATCACGCAGCACGCGGCCAGCAAGACGTGCGGCGGCTCCGACAGCAACGGCGTAGGGCCCGGGGACCGGGACTTCGGGGACGGGGACGCCGTGTCCGAGCTAACTTCTGGAACTTACTTCCCCATGATGTCCGACGAGGAGCCGCCGATGCTGGAGCTCGGCTGGCCGGACACACCGACGAGATACGGACCGTCGGAGACTCAGATCTTCTTCCAGAGAGACAAAAGCCACAACATCAAAGACCTCATCAGGTCCCTGATCAACAAGGCCAAGAAGGTAAGAGGGCTCCGAGGGGACCGGAAACTGCGATCTTTTATTAAACAGCCTGAAACAGGAGGCCGCTTCTCATCGATTAGTCGATTATTCCTGACAGCAGCTGATCGGTCAGACACGGCAGAGCAGAGGTCAAAGCTCCGACTGTATTATTGATGAGTGTGAGCGTTGTTCTCACAGCGGTCTGAATATTTATAGTCTCCACAGTCCAGCTTGAGCTCTCCTCAGTCACACATCTGTAAACTCGGATTATTTATTCTTTAGAGAAAAGCTGGAAATGATTTAGTCTCAAAATCTGCATTTTACAGACTGAAAGCTGCAGCTGGAGAGTTCATCCTGGTGACCTTTGACACAAGTCACAGAAACAAAGCAGCAGCTTTCTCGTTGGGGTTCATAACACACTGTGAAAAAGCTTCTTATCAATAAAGTTCTCAGCAGTCACTTTGTGTCCACCTCAAACCTGTGAAAACATTTTGTTATCAGACAGGACAGAATAAAAGCTTCAGATGTGGAGAGTTGGAAACATTCAAGTGTAAACTGTGTGCAAAATGATTCTTTACAGCTGAATATTTAGTGTGATCCAAAGCACGTCGCTCT